TGTTTCTATTGACACACCCTTATACTGTAGCATAAGTAAGAAGCTAAACCTTATAATAATAATAATAATCCTTGCATTTTATATAGCGCTTTTCCTGTTTTCTAGACGTCTCAAAGCGCTACACAGAATATACTGTAAAGTGAATTGACTATATTTTGTGAGCGAAATATGGCAGCCAATTGCGCACAGCAGTGTCTCACAAGCAATCGTGGATTGAATGACCAAATTATTATTGTTTTATTTTTCTTGAGGGATTGTTATCAGTGTGAAGTAAGGAAACTTGCCCAAGGCTTTGCCCTGCCAGGAACCGAACCCAGGTCTCTCGCTTGCAAGGCGAGTGCTCTGACCACTGAGCTACAGGACTCCATAACCTTAAGAATACATTGAATACATTTGGGAATATCCACTAGACCGCTCACGATCTCAGCAAAGGTAATAGTTTGTGTCTCCAAATATATTGGTTGGCCTGTTCTGCCACTGATGAGCATCACAACTGAGGTTGACCTGTCCATTTACATTTACTTTCTAGCAAATACCACGGGATAGAAATGCCCATTCATTTTTTCCTCCCTTTCCTCTTCCAAGCCAAGTGATATTAAGTCCAATTATTGTTGTCCCAGTTAAAATAAGGCACCACAAAATAAGACAGATTTTTTGAAAAAAATCTCAACGCACTAAAACAAGAAGGAAGTTTCTCCCGGTATCCTGGCCATCTATCCTCCAGATAGGGTATTGCTCTGTGTAAACTGACTGTTCTGTTTTACTACAAATACATAGTCACTACACTATACAGTAAATAGCCTGTTAATAATGGGCTTTTCTAGGCTTATGCTTGAAGAATATCTACTCAGTGATCTAACAGATTGCTTGTATCTATAGTATACTCCAAGAAAAATGGGAAACAGAAGAGAAGAAAATTTAAAGGAAATATAAGTTGTACGTGATCTGGAAGAGTAGTTCCATGAAAAAGTCTGGTATAGTCAACAATTTAATCTGTACACATAGGGGGCTAATGTAACCAAATTAATGCTCAATGAGTTTCTTAGGACTTGTGTTGCAGTTCTGGTGCACTAATCGAATTTATAAAATACCGCTGAAATATTTGGATGTGATGAAGTCCATAGCCACTTGTGGCATGTTGTAAATAATCAGCAGATTTGAGGCTCACTGGACTTCTTGTGAGTGAGAGTCCAAAATTGCTTATGAATGGTGATATTTATCATACTGAACAAATCACACAGCTGGTTATGACTTTATTTCCAATTTTAGCACTTGGAATACAAAGAGGCAGCCTGTAGGAGATCAATCCACTATACGATGAAATTATAGGATGTGGAATCATGCACATAACTCACCAAAACATGAGGTTTTTAATCCCAATCATGCTGTTGGAGAAGATGGGAACATAAAGGCATTCTTTACAATGAGGGTGGTAGAAAGTTGTCCAGGCTGTGAACCTTGCTGCCAGTTATATAACTTCAGGGACTAGATCTCTAGTGTGTCCGTTCAGTGAGAAGCAGAGCAAGAAGGGCACAAATCAATAAGATACAGGTTTAGTATTAACTGAACGGTGGATGGATTCTTAAACTTTCATGTATGGGATCACAATATACAACGAATACATTAATAATTTATATTTTATTGTGTTGTGCTTTATTTTGCAATTCACAATGAATTTTACTGTTAATTAAATAATGATATAATAAATACTTCATATTCAATACAATATTTTCGATCTGTCGCCTACAAATAGTCACAAGTTAAAGGCATTTTAGCTGTATCTCAGCATTTGCTTTTAAAAGATTTGGACACTTGATTACAATTTGGCAACAAAAAATAACAGATACTTGTATCATCCCCAGAGTATTCAGGCTCCACAGGGCGAATGTGATCAGGAACCATGCCACATATTTTAAAATCCAATTTCACATGACAAAAGGCTTCCTTCAGAGTAGGTTGAAAGTCTATGATCCTGGCTGTGAATAGAATTGAACACTTATCATTAAATCAGATTTTTCCATCATTCTAGCCGAGATCAGGACGAGTCTTCTTAAATAATGACATGTTATTTGAGGAATCAAGTTCAGCACCAAAGTGTACTTGAAAATGCTTCACTCAACAATGATTTAAAAGACTTACTGTTAACATTTCCTGGTTAGTACAGGGAGGGTGTTAAGGTTGTTGTAATCCGCAAAGCGATAAATGATCCCAATATCAGTTACAAACAGCTGACAGTAGAATTTCAGGATATTTTTAAAATAGTCTGGGAATTACAAGAGAATTCAGGGAAGACTGCTCTTTCAAGGATATTGATGGACTCTGGAAAGGAAGATTTCTTGAAGAGGTTGCATGCACCCCTGGGTGAGGGGCGCCATATAAATGCAAGGTGTTGTTGTAAGATTAATGAATGATTGGCTCAGTAATGTAAAGATAAGGAATAACTACATTACAATTTACATTTATATAGCGTCTTTCACATCGGGAGGATGTCTCACTCGTCAAAAAGGCAAGTCTTAAGGCAGTCTGTGGAAAGTGGGGAAGAAGGAAACTATACTTGGATTTTTTGATGTGTGGACTATATTTGTGTAAATAGCTTGTGATGCACCTCCATTGTGCACAGCCAGATAAACTGTATAAACCTTAGATACACTCAATAGCTTTCTTGTTTTTGCTTATATGGTTTTCTTTTCAATATTTTTGGAACTTAGTTCATTTGAAAGTTAGTTTTGTTCCCACAAATGGCATGTGACCCAACTACCTGGCACTTTGTTCTGCTCTTGTTACTCCTAAGCCAGTCATGGGGTATAAAAATGTCTAGGGGTGGGGGGGGGGAAGAATATATTACTTTCAGGAGAGAAGCCACCAGTGCATCTTCTAAAGGCACAGCTGAATTTAAATGTGTTTATAAATTTTAAAAAATGAGTCTTTATTGTACCCTTTCAAACCGATCTGGTGGTTATTGATTGATACCTCTGACCTGATTTATTTTCCCCTCTTGGGAATGATGATTCAATGATTTCTTCTTCAATTCCTCCCATCCTTCCCACAGGAGATGACTCACGCTGTTGTGTTCTAATGGTGCTGTGGCAACGCACTGGTGCCTTAACCAAGTGAGATTGAACAATTAGTATGGTCAGACTATTCAACCGTGGACAGCTTCAGCTGAGCTCAATCCATCTTCGCTTTACAACCAGGAGAATCGCCCACAAAACATACAGCCAATTTGGTTTACCGTATATTCTGTGAAGCGCTTTGAGATGTCTTGAAGAAGTGATAAAGCGCTATATCAAATGCAAGGATTATTATTGTTAATCATTGGATGGGAATTGAGAGTGGAAAGCCTGGCTGATGGTTTTTTCTCTCCTTCCCTAAAATACTGAGATTAACTTAAGTGCTTCTACCGATGCACTCATTGCCTCAGCACAGATCAGAGACCAAACCTGCAACCCTCTTTGTCTGTATAATTCGATACCACACAGGGAGAGGTGCACTTAACCACAGAAATGTTTTGGGATCCTTAAATTCATAAATTTTAAGATGTCAAATATTTAAGATAAATAATGCATTCTTCCATCATTGATTGCAGGAGGATTTCATTCTCTCTTAAAATTTGTGTCTTAAATTACTATCAAGCAAAACCAAATTAATATGTTTTTAGAAAGAGCACATGCTGGAAATCCACAGCCGGTAATAGCACAGAATTAGCTCCATTGAAGAGCTCTACTGGAAGCATTAACCTGTGGTTTTCTCTCTCAGATGCGGAATGACTTGCTCTGGATTCCCAATACATTTTGCTTATAGAGATACGCAACGATTGTTTTTATTATCGGAATTAATAAGTTTTTTGGGGGAACAAGAAAAAAAAACTGCAAATGTGTTTTGCAAAACCGATCGCGTCTGCGATCAAGTGAAAGGATTCCCAAAATCCAGATTGCAATTGCTCAGACTGATGCACACTCGTCTCAAAATTGTCTGTGGGGGCAGAGGAAATCATTCCTGTCGAAACAGCTGGAGACTTCCCCAAGAAATCAAAAGATTTCTCCGGAAACCTCTCAATGCCCTGACATTTGGCTGATGGTAGTGACCCTCTATTACTACTCGAGCTCCTTATCAGGGCAATCTTTCCCCCATCCTCACCCCCCCCCCCACCCACCCTTGTCAAGCAGTCTATCTGATCTCTAACAACCTGCGAGAGAGGAGAGGAAGGCAGGGACCAGTGGAAGCAGAAATGAACTGAGATGCTAACTGAGAAGATGGGCAATGAGGGAAGGGGGGGACTGAAGGAAGGGGTGGGGGGAGAGAGAGGAAAATATGTAAAAGGGTCACTCTCTCTCTCTCTCTCTCTCTCACACACACACACACACAGAAATACACATGGTCTTTGTAGACAGATCTGGCTTTGCGTATTAGTGACAATAAGGGGAGGTGATTGAGAGATTCATTCTCCCTCATTGGTTCCAGCATTGGCTCTTCGTAACATCCTGTGTGGCTGGAACTCCACTCAGCACAGCAAAGAGGAAAAAGACAGTCACTCACTCACTCACTCTCTCTCTCTCCATCCATCTATTTCTGTGTGCAGTCAGTAGTTCCACATCGCATCAGCTCCTCCTGCTCTTCACTGCACGACTCTAGAGGCTCCATCAGAAATCAGCAGCAACCACATCCCCCCCTCCCCCCCCAACAAAAAAAAACTGGAATTAAACTTTTGTGTTGGAAAAAGGGGTTTTTGCTCATTTTTTAAAAAAAACAACCCCCCCCCCACCCCTCCACACAGAAAGTGACTGGTGCTGTGGATTTACTGTGACTCGCAACGCAACACCGTTTGGATCAATTGAACTGAAGCTTCTCGTCTCCTCGGGGTTTGCAGATTCAACTGCCAATTAAAAACATTTTGTTGTTGGGATCTCGTTGTGGAAAAGCGGGAGGATTTAATTCCGAAGATCTGATTGCAAAACTTTACTTGGATCCCCCCCCACCTCAACCCCTCAACCTCAACCCCCACCAATTAATTCCCTGTGCAAAGTGTCTCGATCTGTGTTCAGGAGAACCTCAGTCTGACTCAGTATCACTCCCCACTCGTTCTCGTAAGGATTGTAACGTGTTTTATTCGGTGTTGCATTGCTTTGTGTGTCGGGATCGGCTGGTGGTGAAGATGCTGTGGTGGTCGGTGGCTCTGGGGTTCGTGGGACTGCTCTTTGCCCCTCCGGCTTTGGGGGAACACAAGCCCAAGACCTGTCTGGATGTGAAGAACCTCTACAGCAATAAGGGCTTCTCTGTGACCGGGGTCCCTGCCACCGAAATCTCCGGTAAGAGAACAAAGTCCCATTAAATAACTCAGGTTCTTCTCTCTGAATACAAAGAGATCGGGGGGTGTTTTTTTAACCCCCAGGTGTTGCTGATGTACAGTGTGTGTGTGTGCAATATGTGTGTGTGTGTGTGTATGTATATATATAGATATATTTATGGGAGGGTTTGCAAGAATCGATACGCAGAGATGGTTTTGCAGAGAGGATGGAGGAAAGTGGACGAAGCTGAGAAATGCATTGGAGCAGGAAATGGGATTATTTGGGATTGGGTTTAATCGACAGCAAAGATCACGAGAGAGAGAGAGAGAGAGAGAGAATGAGAGAATGAGAGTGGGAGAGTGGGGAGAGTGGGAGAGAGGAGGGGGGGGAGAGGTTGTAATTTTTGTTTGCATTTTTGCTTTGCAGTTTGCATTGCGTGTTTATTTCCCTCCCCCTTTATTAATGTATTTATGCCCCCCCCCCCCCCACCCCCCCCACCACAAAAAAAAAACGACAACAGTTTTGCCCTCTCCTCCTCTCCTCCTCTCTGATGTGTAATCCTTTATTTATTTGTTTTTTTTTGTTGTTGGTTTAAATGGGGGGTTCCCGCAACTAAGTAACGCCATCAGAGACCAGACAGACACAAAAGGACATTATGTAGTGGGATTGGGACAGGAAAGTTAAAGAGTGGGGAGTGGAGGGTTTTAATCACCAATTTAAACAACAACAACAACAACAACAAAAAAGGGACCAGTTGTTGAAAAAAATCATTTTGCGAGAGGGGGTCTGTGTGGGGGGGGGTAGGGGGTTTGGATGGGTTTGGGTTGAAATTGAGGGAGAGGAGAAGGGTTATTAATCGTGGGGTCCGAATCTAACCGCGTGTCCCTGATTATTTATTCATTGGGGTGTGAGGTGAGGGATCGAATCTGGAATAAAATGCATTTTTTTTTTAAAAAAAAGCATATACACAAAACACACACTGCCAAATGGGTCTGGTCTCCAGAGTGGTTTAAATGAGGGGAGAGCAGAGAGAAAGATAGATAGAGAGAGAGAGAGACAGACAGACAGACAGACAGACAGGGAGGAAGGATGGGGAGAATAGACAGAGTGGGAGAATAGAGGAGAGATGGCTAATGAGAAATAGATGAAATGAGAGAGAGAGAGAGAGAGAGAGATAGAGAGGAGAAGAGGTACCCAAAAGATTTATGCTTTCTACTTGTCTCTCTTAAAAACTCATTTACATTTTCTTTTTCTTCTTTTTTTTCCAAAAAAATTTAAAAAAATAACCCCCTCCCCACCAAAAAAAAACCCCAAAGAGAAAGTGTCCTGAATTAACACAGGGTTCTCGTTTATTTAATTAAGCTGCCAGAGGAAACGAAACGAAGTAAATCTGTTTTTTTTAAAAAAAGCCTTTTATTTAAGAGTCAAAAGAAAGGGAAGCAGCAGCATCTCCTGGAGCCAATTGGGTTAACCTTGTGTGTTTTTAGGAAGGACTTGTCAGAGGTCGGTGTGGTTGGCTGACAATTTGGTGAGGTCGTTATACCTTCCTCTGGTGCCAGTTAGTTGAGAATGATTATCCCTTGATATAGTCTCATCATATATGTTTTCACACCAGAATTCAATGGCAGCAGTTATATTCCCTCCTCTCCTCCTCCCTCTCCCTCCCTCCCCATGCAAAGGGAATCTCTGCACAAAGGGAATAGCTACTGTTCCAAAGATGACTGACTTAGACTTCTTTTTGTGGCTCAGACAGTTGACCTGTGCCTGGTGGTGGCTTGCGACTACCTGCTGCTGCCACCACCTCGTGCTTCTTGTCAATTTCAAGGGATGAAAGGGACATTAACAGGAATTCACAGTTGTGGAGAAACCTTCAAAAACTCAGATCGCGACCAATGAGCCAGGAGTTCTCTGTCTCCATCTTAACATATATGCCGATTGAGAAATGATCATTGCTATTAGATTTAAAATAAATTCTTGGCTCTAAGTCTACCACTGGGTTACTGAGGATCCATAGGGTTTAACTGCATAATCTAGATTTAGGTTGCTCTAAATAACATCACAATTCTTGCATTTGATAATGCCTTATCATGTCGTTGAGACGTCTTACGGAGCTTCACGTAATATACTGTAAAATGGATTGACATGTATTTTGTGGGTGAAATGCACATGTTTGAGACTTCCCTATCTTCCCACATCCCCAAATATTCGTTTGCATGGCATAGAGTAGTCATCGTGACTTGCGAGTAATAATACTTTCAGGTTTTAGACTGTTAAGAGTTCCCACATCAGTTTCATTCTACAGTGGGTGGCCAACCTTTAGCCTAGGCTCATTCCTAGAATGAGATTGGCCAACAAAATAATCATAGAAGTAACAAAATAGCAGATAGCTGCCATAAAACAAGAAATATTCAATCAAGAAAAAATTATTTTGTTGACCAGGGCTTTGGTACCCCGACTCAAGTTTGCTATTGGGGTGGCTTCAATCGTTTTATAGTGAGGCACTGCTTCATACATAGACATCTCTGGGAGAGACAAGTTCTGTACTACTACAATAACATGTACCTCTGGTCATAGTATGTGGGAGCAGCATCAAAGCTGGACAGCTCACCTTTGAGACGATGCAGCTTTTGGGATCTTTAATAGCATAGGCAAGAGTCATTTCAAAACAATGTTAGGGGCCAAATACTTTGGGGTTGAAATTAATATTTAAATAGACTAATTTGTGAATAATTTGTTCTGCTAGCTGGAAAATAAATTATTGCTGCTTTATATTATGCAACCTGTTTCACTGATGTTCCCATTCTGCCGAGGTTGTTCTGTGAATCTATTACAGGAGGCATGACAAATGTTCTGTTCTCTTGCTGGCACGTGGAGGGTTGGTATTGAAGCAGACTACTGCAGATCTTGTTTGCATACAATGCATGCTTAATTATAGACCTCAGTAACACCTTCTGATGAGAAAATGTTTATATTTAATGATTTTATCTGCATGTAGTTAATTTTCCACCAGAAAAGAATAAGATCAAAATAGATGGCTGCAGGGTAGGTGATGGCTATTTGTATGCTACTCCATCTATTGACCCTAGGGGATAATTTAGTTGTTGTGTTTCTGCTCCAGACACGGTGCTTCAACCATTAGTGTCTCACTGACCCAGTAACTAGAATTGTGGGCAGAATAGAGAAGGTTGGAGAAAATGGTCCAGAGAGAGAGATGTTTAAAAATGTATGTTTAGTGGAGAGTAGTTGATTCAGTGGGTTACAGATAAGCCTTTTACTTCTCTGGGATCTGACATTAAAATCCAGTACAGAACGATGGGATGAAAACCTCCTCTGGTGTTAGCTGTAAGAGTTCAGTGTGAAATGTATTTGCATGGTTTCAATCGAATTCATAGTGAGCATGACCTTGCAGCACAAAAGGCCCCCAATTTGACACTAAATTGGCAATCTCACTCAATGCCACAATTGTTAAAAGAAATATTTGATTTAGTTTGGAGTGAATATTCTATTCACTCAAATTTTGGAGATCGTAGAATCAATTGGCTGAGGCCTCAACATGTGCTAAAATTGAACATAAAACCTGGAGTGATGCTGAATTGAGCTCTTTTACTTGTGGCGTTAGAGTGTAGACTGTTTTATTTGCTTCCAAGGATTTAGAACATGTAACCAGACAGTACTATGGAGATTCCTGTCTCCTGGACCCACCGGTTATTTATAATCTTCAGTTTGGGCAGTGTGATGCTAAAAAATACAAATTACAATAAAACTCTCAGCTTTATTACTGTAGGATTAACTCTCAATTATTGGAATATTTGGAAAGTTTGATTGACGATTGAACTGGGTCAGATGAGATCCTAAACATCACTGCCAATTTCCCCATACCAACATAGGAAGTAGGCTGCAAATCAATATGTTCACCAGTGGCATCCAGATAAATGGATGTCTGTAGCACTCCAGGGGTTGAAAGCTTCATTTTGATTTCTTGTGTGTGGGAAATGATACACCAAAGAAATTTGATAGAGCACATCATAGAATGTGACAATTCCATTTCCTGGGTGGAGAAGTGAAAATAACAATGGATTGAATCACATCCATTTAGTGACCTGATTCCCATTGGTGCCATCAATCTGGTACAGACTGCAGTCTCCCTGATTTTTCTTTTGAGAAACCTTCACAAAGGTTTAAAGTTATAGTGCAGGACTCCTGTCAAGGCAGAGAGAAAAGCATCTAAATCAAGTAGGTAGATTGCACAGGACAAGCATGGGTTTTAAAATGTAGGAGGAAATGGAGGTAAGGAGTTTTAGTACAAGAGGAAAAGATGAAAAAAATAGCGAGAGAGAATTTGGTGATTAAGTAGCTTGAAGGAAGAAGGATCATCTGGCAGATGAAGCTTTTTCTAGAGCCTCCTGAGACACAGAAGCAGTATTGAAGTCTTGGCAAGTTTGACTTTATGGGGAATTAAGAGTTGAAGGGATAAGTATTTGGCATGAAAAAGTAAGATGAGCTACTTAGGGGCCCGTGTTAACAATGGTGGAGATGTGAGAGCAGATTCTGAAGGCAGAAATATGCAATTTATCCCATTCTGGATCTCCTATGAAATGTGAGTTAATGAAATTTGATGTGGTGCGCAAACTCTATCTAAATAAATTGAAGAGCACTGAACTCTGCTTAAAATTGGATTTTCNTTTTTTTTTGCAACGTCTCTAGTTTTGTGTGGCAAATGATAACACAGGGCATTCTGCCAAAGCTGGTACTGATCTAGACACCAAGTGGGAGCATGGTCATAAAAGCCTCCTGGCTTTTATGTTTCTCCTCTTTATGTATACTGGAATATGCGGAAGCCTTTTTGAATGTGTTTGGAACTTCAAACATTCTGGCCAATGAAAATGTTGATTTTTTTTAAAATGTAGTTATCAAATTTATGTCTTGCAAATGAGAAATTCCTCTGGACAAGAGGTTAGCAGGCAGGTTTGGCTAGCATCCATAATGGTGCAGAATCTGACAAAGGTTCTTATAGAAACAGA